CTTTTATCATGACCTGACTAGAATGTTTTATATAACAGGATGGGTTGTGGTTTTCGTTTGTTTGTTTTGTTTATGGTTTTTTTGTTGTTGTTCTTCACTGCTCTTGTCACATCCTCCTCAAGAGTTTCCCAAATACATAAAATTCTAAAGTTTGAAATAAAGCATTTTAACTTACCACACCCTATTCACTTATCTTGGCAAAAAGAAATTACAGGAACTGAACTTTTCAGAAGAAAAAGACAAAAACAAAAACAAAAACCTTATATACTATTATTTACTTTCACTTTAAATGCTAGTTTGTTTTTTGTTGTTGGCTTGGTTTACTTCATTTTGTTTTGAAAAGGGGTTTTGTGGTGTAACTCAGGACGACCTCATTTTACTAAGTAGCCCAAGATGGCCACAAGCTTGCAGCAACATTCCAGCCTCAGCTCCCCAAATGCCAATATTAGGTGTGAACCAGCCTGTTGTTTACAAAGTATTTTATATAAAATAAGGTAGTACTTTCTAAACGTTAATTTTTTACTTCATTCAACTCTTCATGTTTTCATTATTTTGCCTAAGCAATGTGTCACTGAAATTGATAATTTCCAATAGCAACGACATTCTTCCCATAATCCTGGATGGCAGAGAGTGTGATGTGTTGCTTTGCTTCCTGCTTTTTGAGACAGGCTCTCACTAGGTAGCCTGAGATGGCCTTGAACTGTCCGTGTAACCCAGGCTGGTTTTGAACTCTTTATTTTCCATCTTACTCCCAAATTCTAAAATTACAGGCTGCATCGTGATGCCCGTGTTAGTGATTCGATTCATTTTAGTGTGGATTTACATGGTCATATTAAATAAAAAGATCAGCTCATTTGCTTTAACAGAAGTTAACAAAAAGAAACTAGACAGTTCTGAAACATAAAATTCAGGGCCACTAATTGGGCTGCTAAGTTAATCCTTGCAATAAGATAGAAATTGTGGCCTTGAGAGAAAATGGAAAGTTAGTTATGAATGCTGATGGCTTTGATTGATATAACAAAGATTTCAGAAATATTCTGCTGTGTATTCATGAGTATGCTGAAAATCAATACCAAATGGAGAGTTCACAAGAATTTAATTCAGTCTATTCTTACCTTTGATTTCTTCAAGCCCAACTTTCTTCTCACCAAATCTTTGGCTTTGAATGTCTCTGCAACACTCATTAATAAAAAGCTTTCAGAATGTGTTCTATTGTTTCCATAAAACACACATTTAAGCAGCCTCTAATAATGAAGCTATTTTCATCTTGAGAATTAAAAACAGTTTGAGTTTTTTTTTTAACCCCAGCAAGAATGGACAAAATGAGCTGAAAATGCCATACATTTTTAAAAACTCAGGAATATAACTTGGAGATTAGAGGGAAACACAGAACTTCGGTCTAAACTAGTAAAGTAAAAAGTTCTTCTGCAATGCATAGGAATTTTGGTCATTCAAGCATAAATGCAAGTTGACTTGTGTTTCAATATGAACCAAAAAGAATGAAAACGTATTTTTGTCTGTTAAAAAATGTTTCTCAGGCTATGCAGTCTTTTGAGTAGTGAGTCTCCTAGCTTCTCTTGGTGAGCAAGCTTCCACCTTTGTGATTTAAAACCCACACGTGGGAGGAGAGAGGTAATTACCTATGTAAGCCACTTTTACTCCATATCAGGAAGTGTGACATGTTGCGTATTCAAGTTATTCCATCCATGGTCTGGAAGGGAAATAAATAAAACAAGGGAAAAGCTCTCAGCAGCGGGGCACAGCGAGTGGTCACTGGCCATGGTGCTGAAATTGTGTCTCCCGCATCCCGAGATTAGAGGTTAGCTGTCTACAAACAGCTTCAGAAAAACTGTATCCAAGGATGAGGAGAGAAATGGAAGCCAAACCTTTCAGCCCCACTAAACACATGAATAAAACCAAACCACCAATGTCACTGTACTTATATTCACAAAAACGCCAGTGTTTTATCCAAACCTGTGAAATGCATCTCATTGAATCTAAACAGACGCTTGGATCTTGTTTTTGAGGCAGTATTTTGTTTCAGTTATAGAAGAAATGGTCCCTCCACTCATTTTTCATCTCACTTCCACAACTATTTTTTGCTCTATCTGGAAATAATCATCAGTTTTCCTGCAGCATTTAATCCCAACTTGGCCCAGTATAACACTTTTCATAAATTTATGGGCTGTTTGCTAAGCCTCTTCAAAATAAAGAAAAACCTCAGAACAATTTCATGAGGAATTACCCCTAGACAGTGTGTTTAGGACAAGTCAATAGCTTCTTCTTTCTTTTTGTTTAATCTATACATTAATATAATGTTCTCATGCCAATTAATCCCATGCACTACAGATGATGTAAAGACACAAATCAGGGTCCTACTATAAGCTTTGAAAGCCCAATGAATTGTTCAAATAGTGAGGAAGACCTGAAAGTTATTCTAGTGGAAGAGAATTTATCCTAAAGCAAAACAAGAAAAAGAAGTGGCTGTGCCAAGTGGGCAGAACCGCTGTGCCAAGTGGGCAGAACCCCATGGCCACAACAATGTTTAATAGACTTCCTCCAGCTCATGCGCCAGAAGTCTCAAAAGGGGGCAAAAATTTGTTCCTTTTAACCACCCAGGATTTTCCTCAGCCACACCCTCTCTATTAAAATCATGTTAGTTTCCTAAAAGGTTATGGAGAATAGAAAGAGACAGAGACAGAAGACACTAAGACAGAGACTTTAGTCATATGCTAGAAACCCGAGGTTTTCCACTGTGGCTTGGGCCCTTGATCTCCAGGACAGGCAAAAGACCAGAGAACGGGGGGGGGGGGGTAACTCCTCTCCTGGCTCACCAAGTCCTGCCCCCACTGTTGCCACACCCAGCCTCCCACCCCTGCTGGAAAGTGGGCTGAGTTCCTTTCTTCCTTTTGCCCCATGGGAGATGAGAAGGAATGGATGAACTAGTTTCCATCTGACCTTGGCTTTATAAGATTCTCTTTACAGAATCATTTCAGGTCTGGAGAAAGGACTCCAGAGGAGGTATCTGGAGCCAGACATCACGATTTCATCTAAGCCAGAACGCAAAGTGCCCTGTGAGATAAGCTCTGACCATTAGTGTGGTATTATGAGCCCTGCTGTTCTTTTATCCTTTCCCAGGGAATTGCCTCTTACAAAGTCCAAGCCGTGTTTTAATAGCGGCCACTCTCGGTGTTCCTGTCTTTTGAAAGAATCAGCACCAAAATAATTCCCACATAAATGATTAAAAACGGCATCACGTTTTAAAAGTCATTTAATATTAATAGCATATTTTAATGAAAAAGCAGCATACTTTGCCAGTAAAACATTAAAATCATCTCTTCGATGAAAGACAATCAAACAACACCCAAAATAACTTAATACATTACTAGAGTAAATAATCCATTAACAAAACCAAGAAACCAGGTCATATACAGATCTTAGGACTTTGGAGAGCCTCAAATGGATCAGCAATTACAGCAAATTTTGTAAGAATATATCTATATGTGCATCATTTTGAATGAAATATTTACAATAAATAAGGTACCAATCACTTGTGTACCTATTTGTGTGTGTGTGCTTCAAAGGGATTCTACCAAACAATGTGAACTTACAAGCAGTGCACTGTCTTTCTTACAGTTCAAATTTGTTTTGTTTTGTTTTGTTTTCCTACAAACAAACCTCCTAAAAGGAAAAAATGAAGGATCCCTATAAATGTCAAAATGTAGCAACAAAGCAATTGAAAACTGGAAGATTGAAATACCTTGGTGAGATCTTAGAATCCAGGAGAGTAAGCACCAAGAGGGAAACACACCTAAGGCTGGAAAAAGATAGACTGATCATCAGTCACGCTTGCAACTGTTTCTCTTCCGTTAGAGGGGTGTGTGTGTGTGTGTGTGTGTGTGTGTGTGTGTGTGTGTGTCTGTGTAGGCATGTGTGAGTGAGAGAGGGCGTGTGTCATGGGGGCAATGTGGGAATCCCCATTAAATATGTAAGGAAGTAAACAAGACTTCGGAAGGTGAATCAGGTCTACACGATTAAGACATCCATTACCAAGTGTCAGCTCACAAATTAGAACACTACCAGTTAAAAACAAAGGGGGGGGGGAATCTTCATTCAGAGTGAGAATATACAACTAGGCCAAAGAGAACACAGTCTACGAGGGAGGCTGGAAAAATCCAGTAAACGAATCAGACCCAAAAAAAAAAAAAAAATGTTTGAGCATCGCTAGCTGTACGTATCCCCCGGTTTTATTTTCAGACTAAAGAAGTGTAATTAATTAGAATGTGCACAAAATTAAGTTGCCAGAGATAAATTAATAATTTACAGAGGGTTGTTCGGCAATAATCTAATCATTGCTGTCAAGATCAGTGAACACAGCAGGCGCAACTCCTTTTGTAAGTGTTAACACTTCGGAGAAAGAAGAAGGCAGTAAGAACCACGATAAAAATATATATATAATATACAGTGTAAATGCAGAAAATCTGCCATCTTTTTAATTCAAAATACTTTAGAGATGTCTCTATCATATCACATTAAGCATCAACTCTAGCTTGGAGTCCTGAATCAATTTCTATTTCTGAAAAATAGCTGCGAAGTGTACTTCTAAACGTGAACAAGGGTGACGTCTGTAAGAATAAAAACAAATCATCTTACTTGCTCGTTCTTGCGGGAGGGTTTAAAAGCTCGCCCTCTGCCTTCCCGCCGACCAGCTCCGAGCTTCTTCTCAGGAAGCCGAGCAGCCCCGGCGCGGCTCAAGGGGACAGCTCTGCTACCACTTGACAAATTTCTTTCTTTCTTTCTTTCTTTTTTTTTTTTCTTTTTGTCTGGTTTTTGGTTTTTCTTCCTGATTTGGGCTCAGCTGCTCGCCCCTTTGCTCCGGGCTTGTTCTGGGTTCACATTTACCGGACCGGTTTCTGATAGCCAAAGTGGGAAGAAAAGAGGCAGGAGGGAGGGGAGGGGAGGACGGGGGACGAGGGGAAGCTCCGTCCGCGAAGGGGGTCCTAGATGCCAGCGGAGTACTTCATCCTCTTCTGCTTCTGCCTCTGGTTGCAGAACCAGACGCGCACCACGTTCTTCTTGAGGTCGAGCTTCTCGGCGATGGCCGCGATCTTCTCGGACGAGGGTCGCGGCTGGATGGCGAAGTAGGCCTCGAGCGAGCGCTTCTCGGGCGCGGCGATGGACGTGCGCTTGCGCTTCTTCTCGGCGCCGTTGAAGAGCTCGGGCTTGGTGAGCTTCTCGCGGTGGGACTTCTCGGCCTCCTCCAGCCACGCCTGCAGGATGGGCTTGAGCGCAATCATGTTGTTGTGCGAGAGCGTGAGCGACTCGAACCTGCAGATGGTGCTCTGGCTGAGCGAGCCCACGCCCGGGATCTTGAGGTTGGCCAGCGCCGAGCCCACGTCGGCCTGGGTCACCCCCAGCTTGATGCGCCGCTGCTTGAAGCGCTCGGCGAACGCCTCCAGGTCCCGCGGGTCCGCGTCCACGTCGCTCATGCAGCCCATGTGCGAGGGCAGCCCGTGGGCGTGCGCCATGCTCAGGGCGGCCTGGTGCATGGGGTTCATGGTGGCCATGTGCGGCGCGTGGCCCGGGGTGGACACCACCGCGCCGTCGGGGCCCGCCATCGCCCCCAGGGCCAGCCCGGGGCTCAGGTGCTCCAGCAGCTCGCCCTCCAGCGCCTGGTGCGGCTGGTGGTGGTGGTGGTGGTGGTGGTGGTGGTGGTGGTGGGTGCCGGCCAGGGCGGACGGGTGCGAGATGGGCACGGACGAGGAGGAGGCGGCCGACGTGCACGGGATGGTGTTCATGGTGTGGTAGGTGGCGTCCGGCTTGAAGGGGCTGTGGTGGGGCGGGTGGTGGTGGTGGCTCTTGCTCTGGGAGACGATGTCCACGGCGGCCAGAGCCTCGGCGCGGGCCAGCAGGCTCTCATCCAGCCCGCCGAATATATTGCTCTGCAATTGCAAGTAGAAGGCGCACATTACTCTCAGCAGGGAATTGCGCGCTCCGGAAGCCCCGGCCGGGCCCGCCGCCGCGCCTACGGCGTCCCCAGGACGCTGAAATAATAATCACCGCGGCGGCCCCGGGAGTGGCCGCCGAGCGCGAAGGGGCGCCTCCGCGACGAGCCGCGGCGAGGGGAGGAGAGGGAGCGGCGCAGCCCCCGGCGCGGCTCAGCGCGCGCAGGCGGCGGCCCGGGTCATAAAAATTAATACGGAGGCAGAGAGCCGCCGACCACTTCGGGGGGGACGGGGGGGAGCGGGGTGATTTGCTGCGCGGACATGAAAAAAACATCAAGCAGATGAAGGGGGCTGTCAGGACGTGCCTCTAAGCGGTGATTATGCAGACGTACGCACCGGTGGGGTGGGAAGACAGGCTCTGCGCATCGCCTCGGAGCCCCCGCCGCCGCCGCCG